CAAATCCCAAGACAAAACAAAACAAAAAGACACAAATATGGGAGAGGCCTGTGGGGAAAAGGTAGGGATTATTGGGGTGGGTAGGAGATAAGAGAGGGTTGGGGGTGAGTAAACAGGAATACACTACACTATATATGTGTGTGAAATTGTCAAAGAATAAACCTAATCAATAATGAAATGTTGGGGTCAGGGACGCAGGTCAAAGAATCCCAAGCTAACACCATTTTTTATATTATTATAATGGGCAAACTCACAGAACAGGAATGAGAAGTCTGACCTCAGGTGTGTAATGTGGAAATGAGAAGGAGAGAGAGAGAGAGAGAGAGAGAGAGAGAGAGAGAGAGAGAGCCAGCCCCCGGGCAAGTTGGAGGTTTTCTCTGGGTACCTAAAAGGTCACGTCTTAACTTGTTCCTATCTCCTAAAGGCTGACAGAGGTTCCCCACCAATGAAACAATGGACAAGGGTGCAGTGATTGAAAGCTTACTTAACAATTGCTACAGCATCTACACAGAAGCCATGGTAATCACTGCAACAAATTAAAGACATACATCAACAGAAGGACTCAATGATTATTTATGTAGGAGCTTGTTCTGGTTAGTGTCTTTTTTTTTTTTTTTTTTTTTGTCAACTTGGCACAAGCTAGAGCCATCTCTCAAAAGCAGAACTTTAGTTGAGAAAAACCTCCATCAGATTGCCTGTAGGCAAGTTTATGGGGGCATTTTCTTGATTTCAGTGCGGACCGTGGCAGGTGAACCTGGGTGATTCCAAAATGCAGGCCGAGCAAGCCATGGAAGCAAGCCAGCAAGCGGTATTTGTGGTTTATATTTCAGTTCCTGTCGCTGAGTTCCTGCCTTGAGTTCCTGCCCTGATTTCCGTCAAGAAGCTGTAAGGTGAAATACCCCTCTCTGCCAAGTTGCTTTTGGTCATGGTGATTATTACAGCAGCAAAAGCCCTAATTAAGGTAGAATTCATTTAAAATTATGATTTCTAACCAAATTGACATATAGATCAAATGCAATCCTATAAAACATTTAAATCTGAAAGAAAGGTTATTCCTTTAGTGATTGTGACTGTTTGTACTGAAAAAAGGAAAAGGAAAAAAGCCTTACCACATCTTCTCGTCCTTACACCAAAATGAAAAACAAAACAAAAACTTCGACACGAGTGTATCGTATTTAAATGCCAAAGCTAAACAATAAATTTCTGAACTACATGGGTGAACTCTCTTTGCAGGATATTAAAAATATAATCATGACAAAGACTAATTTGGCTATATTGTAGTTTATTTTTTAAACTTCTGTTTACTTTGAGATACTGGAGACTCTAAAAGAGTGGCGGCTCACATCCCTTTGTGGGGACCTTTCACAGGGTCATGCACTAGATATCCAGCATCTGAGACATTTGCATTACAATTCATAACAGTAGCAAGCTTACAGTTATGAAGCAGCAATGAAAATAATTTTATTGTTGGGAGGGGGGATCACAACACGAGCACTGTATTAAAGGGTCACAGCGTGAGGAAGATTGAGAACAACTACTCTAAATTTTCAGGCCCAGAGAGAAAGATGTTTTGAAATCTTGGAACCGACAAAGACTTAGTCAACTGAGTTTTTTAAGTGATAAGTTGCTGGGGCCAGAGGGCGGCTCAGTGAGCAAGAGCACTAGCTCTTTTATAGAGTACCCAGGTTCGGTTTCCAATGCCCACATGGCAGCTTGCAACCATCTGTAATTCCAGTTATAGGGAATCTGATGTCCTCTTCTGACCTCCAAGGGCACCAGGCCTACACACGCTGTATGCCAATGCAGACAAAACACTGTATACATAAAAATAAACAATCTATTAAACTTTTTAAAAAACAAATAACCAATGAGAAAAATTTGCAAGAGGTTTCAATTGAATCTAAATGGAAAATATGAACAAGACGTTACATGACTTCAATAGTCATCTTTTAAAGTATAATTGTACCCCCATACTGCATTCATGATAATTTTTTGCTGTGAAAATTCTGATAATATGTCAAGCTGTGATGACAACTGTTGCAATGAATTTGGAGACCAGCATTATTGACAGAAGCTGACCCTCACATTCTATGACCTCAAATGCGATTGATTGCTACACGCACACCTCCCAGAATGTGTGCATGAGCACACCAAGAGTACAAGATGAACTCTGGAGTAATGTGAATTAAAGTGAAAAGCACAGAGAGACCAGATATCTATCTGCATTATTCTAGGTTCATGCATTGTGGTGTTTTCATAGCAAAAGAAGTACAAGCCTTCTGTTACATACAAATATGGAAAAACATCACAAACACATTGTTAGGAAACAGAATCAACGGCGAAACGCCTAACTGATTCTGTCCGTATAAAGGTCAAAACCAGACAACCTAATTGATCATGCCTAGGGGTGGATAGTTACAGAGTTAAAGTAAAACTCAGACCTAGTTACCTTGAAAATCTTACTAGGAGGAGGGATGAGGCAGTTGGAGCCTGGTATGTTTCTCTCTGGGGAGTGTATTGTCTTTCCTTACATAAAGGGGACGGGAGAGTGGGGAGGATGAGATATTTTCTTCAAAATGGAGGTTGGCTATCATTTCTCAGGGTAGGAGGTGAAGGGGGTAGGACAGGAGGGCAGCAGGGAAGAGGAAGCCCCCTGTGTGTGTGAGCGTGTGTGCGTGTGTGCGTGTGCGTGTGTGTGTGTGTGTGTGCGCGTGTGTGTGTGTGTGTGAGCGTGTGTGCGTGTGTGTGTGTGTGCGTGCGTGTGTGTGTGTGTGCAGAGACTGCTGCTTCTGCAAACTGACAGGTTCAAGTCCAAAGAGCCACAGCTCACCCGGATCAACCACCATCCCATCCTCTGGTATCAACATATCTGCGTTATTGTCCCAGAAACCTTTGTCAGTTATGAAGAGGGGAAAAAAAACCCTGTAATAATCCCCCCAACCCCATTTTGTACAAAAATTTCTCTATAGTTCCGGCAGTGCCCTGTAACTTTTATTACACATATCTCTTATTTAGAATAATTTCTTGTCATTTTCCTTTAAATGTGTTTGGATAATTCTTGGTACAAATACTCAAGCTGTTAGTGGTAGTTAATTTGATACAAGACAAAGTATTTAGAGGGGAGCAGAGAAAAATGTAGAGCTCAATAAAAAGAAAAAGAATATTATTCTTAGAGATTTATCCCCTTTTCTCTTTCTCTTTATAAGGCCTTGCAAATTTCTACCCACGGGATTACAGGACCAGAGTCTGAAGGTGGATTCTTCCTTGACTTTTGGTGAGTGTAGACTGAAGACACATTTGCAATCCCATTTGAATCAGCAAAGGCTCCTCCTTCCTTCACATTGAGAAGTTATCCTGGGAAGCCAAATAGAGTTCCCCGGAGGATGGTGGTCTTCCCAGGGATTGAAGACATTTATCATCTTCTCTTTAGTCCTTCCTCCACAAGATAATAATAGAGAGCTCTTTTACAGAGAGAGAGAGAGAGAGAGAGAGAGAGAGAGAGAGAGAGGAGGGGGAGGGGGAGGGAGGGGGGAGGGGGAGTGGGGAGGGAGAGGGAGGGAGGAGGAGGGGGGGAGGGAGAGGGAGAGGGAGAGAGACAGAGACTGTGTGTGTGTACTGGGAGGGGACAGATTTTAGCCATTGATTAACTGTACTGTGACAGTGTTCACACCCTACTACTACTTTTTTTTTTTAGAGAGGAGAAACAGCTGCAAAATTTAAATAAAATTTAAAATTTAGGAGGCAAAATTTAGATAATGATAATGGTAAAGTTTATTTTTTCTTTCTTTAGCTGAAGATATCCACAAACACAAACTTTATTTTGATTTTTTCTGGAAACAGCTTCAATATACATTTTCAGTGCTCTTTGCCAATAAGAGCATTGAAACCCCACACAGATAGGCCAGACCATAATTAAGGTAGTTAGATGTGAGCAAGAAACCTGCTTGGCATACATGGTTGAAAAGTTTTGTTCATGACCTGTGATATTAGTTTTATCCTTCAGGAAAGCCCCTGTTTTGTCCTGGGTTGGCCACTGCCGTCCACGAGTTCTCCTGGAAACCACAGTGGCCACATAGCCATGTCCATTCGTGTCCTTTTTTATTATTATTATTCTTAATTTTGACTTTAGGAAAATGAAGAAATTGGATATTTTCAATTTTTTGACTCAGGTGTTCTCAGTTCTCAGTTGCCAGGCTTTAACCATGAAGCTAGTGACCTCTGCTTGTCACCAGTGTTTGGGGCTGATGTCCCCATGGGGGAGGACACCCAGGCAGGGGACCAAGGGCAGCTCAATTTTCCAGGAGGAATGTTTACTTTGCCATGGGCAGAGGTCGCGAAGGTTAACTTAGTGAAACAGGTGCCAAGGCCAGATGATACCTAATTTGGTCAAGGAACAAAGAGCCTGTACAGGATTCGGAAATCCTCCACAGAGCACAGGGATGTGGGACACTTCTCACCAGTTCAAGGGAGTTTTTCTAAGATAGCAACTCCATTCCTTCACCTTTGCACTCCACTCCATCTCTTGCTGTGAAAGGGGGGATGGTGGGGGACACTGGGGTAAACCTAGCCCTATTACCCGCCTGGCACCCCGGTACTGTGGACTCCGCCTGAGGATCCAACAGTTTAGGTGATCTCCCGCGGCCCTACAGGCATGGAAGGATCTAAGGATCAGTTCTACTCTGACCCCTGCAGGTTGGTTGTCGGGTCCTCGGAGCCCAGAGTGGCACTGGGCCCGTGGGACTCCCGGATTCAGCCTTGTGCTCGCTTGCCCACCTGAGAAGGCGGCGAAGGGGCCTCAGGAGCCAGAGGCCGAGGTCCCCGCGCGGCTGCAAAGTGACACCAGCGCCCCCGAGTGCCCGGGCCACGCGCAGGGCCCGCCAGGCTGGCGCGCCATCCTCCCCGCCCCCCCCCCCCCCCGCACCGCTCCTCCCGGTCCCCACCCTCCACGTTCCCACCCTCCTCCTCCGCCCCCGCCCCTCCCCCGCTCCCCGCCCCACAGTGTCCCAGCCGCCCGGGCCGTGAGCGCAGGCGGCCCTGCCACCGCACCTGCTGGGCGCTCGCTCACTGCTCGCACCCGAGCGCCACTGCTCGCACCCAGCCCTTCCCCACTGTCGTCGCGCGGTCGATGACTCCCCAGACCCCTGGCCGACGACCATGACCACATCCCTGCAAGGTGGGCAGAGCGCTGCCGGCCGGGCGGCCTCCCAGGACTCGCCGCTGGCCGGGCAGGTGTGCCGCGTTGCCCAGGGCAGGGGCGACGCCCATGACCCGGCGCGGGTCCCCGGACTGCACGCGCTGTCGCCCGCCTCCGACGCGACCCGCTTCGGTGCTGCAGACAGGTAGGCAGCTTGCAGGGGGGAGGGGGAGAGGGAGAGGCGTCCGGGTTCACAGTCTGCTGGGGTGAGGAGGCGGCCCAGGGGTGAGTGTGTGCCCAGAACCCAACCAAGTTTTGAAAGTGTCTGAAGACAATTCCCATGGAGTCAGCCCCCGCGGGGTCAGCAGGGTCTCAGGAGCTCCAGGTGCCCTGTTATAAATAGCATCGCGGGTCTGTGGAGAGCCGTCTGTCTCACCTCTGCCCTTTAGTGTGAACCAGGAGGCCACACTCCAGACTGACCACAATCAGCTCCTGGGTGACCCTTTTCATACTACACTATGGGCTTCAAAAACCGAAGCGTGAATGCGTTCACCTCCCACGTAGAGTCTTCCGGGGACCCCGGAGACGCAAAGCAGGATTGACATTTGAGCAGTCTTTATGTTCTACAGGAAAGAGCAGAGGCTTTCAAAGGTTTCCCATCTCCACAGAAATCAGCACCAAGTGCCTTCGGAGTTGTCATACTTTAGGAAAGAAAAAAAAGGCGACAACAGTATAAAAAAAAATCTGTGGCCCTTTGCAGGCATACATGCAAATACCACTCTGGCTTCTTTGTCAGGATTGCAAAGTGCTTTGGCTTCAGCCAAGTTAAAATAACTCACCAGCGGGCCAGCGGACATTCATGCTAACACGTTTTATTGACTTACCTTCCCAGAAGGATTGCCTTGGTGTTCAGTATCTATAAGCACTTGAAAAAACGAACAGACTGTGTGTGGGCAACATTGTGAATGAAATTTGAAGCGAGATGAACCATATCTATATTTAATAAATCATAATTTCCAGCAGTGATGAGTAAAAATTCCTGGGAATGAGTTCATTGGATGTAACTTACAGATTTTGTCAATTTAATAGGCGCCAGGCAGTGGCTCATCCCTCGGGGTAATGTTTGCATAAATCATGACGTGGCCTGTATTGGTGTTCAGGAGAATCCTGAGTGCAGGAAATGGAGTGATCATGCCTAGTGAGGTTTTTTTTTTTCTCTTTTTTTGGCCAGGTATGTGTGTATGTGTCGGGGGGTGCTACAGAATTATTTGTGCTAGTCGGCATATTTTCTCTTGCTCCACAGAGAGATAGAGCTTTCCTGTAACTTGTATGGTGTTAGCATTGTCACAGAGTGGGGCCCATTAGCCTTAACAAACGCTCTCTCCCCTGACAGCAGTTATATTTTACATTCGGTTTTATGTAAATGACGTCCTATGTTCTTTTGGTGTAGGAGAAAAAAGAACGATCTGGATGTTCTGGAAATGCCGTCTATTCCCAACCCCTTTCCTGAGCTGTGCTGTTCTCCGATTACCTCTGTGCTGTCGGCAGGCCTGTTTCCCAGAGCAAACTCAAGGAAGAAGCAGGTATGTGCTTCTCGGTTTGGAAATTGCTAGTGTCTTCAGAGGTGTCAGTCCACGCAGACTTAAAAGAATTTGTCAATAAAGCATCAAGAGAGAATTTGTTTGACTCATGCTACATTACCCTTGCTGAAGAAGTTCTCTTGAGATAACCTTCCTTTTGGGGCCTCAGTTTCCTTAACTGTATAGCGCCAATGTCCAAAGGATTCCTTAGAATCTTGGGGAAGAGTAAGAGAGATGTGCACCGTCCTTGTCGGCTACAGTCATTCACTAGGTAGATGGGACAGTTGTGTGTGCTGACAGGTTATCAATTTCAAATCTCAATGTTAAATTGAAAGAATGGGGCAGTAGTAGTGGGTGGGTAGGGATTGGCTGTTTGTTTGCTTTTAACAATATCTTTCCGCTTACACATTTTATCCTATGCTAACCTCAGTTACCAAGGGAGGGAGCACTGTAAAGAACCTGGCAGGAATGGTGGGATGGTTCAGCAGGTGAAGGGTTTTGCTGCCTAGCCTGAGGATCTGAGTTTCATTCCTGGGACCCATATGCTAGAAGGAGATAACTGAGTCCCAAAAGATTTTCTCATACTTCTCGGTGGATCCTATGGCAAGTACATGTGGATAAACACCACACACACACACACACACACACACACACAGAGAGAGAGAGAGAGAGAGAGAGAGAGAGAGAGAGAGAGAGAGAGAAACACACACATGCATACACACACTACCTTACTGCATAAGGTAATTGAAGTACAGGGGCTGAAAATACTTTCCAGTAAGTTCTACATTTTGGAATCTCCAGTTGCAGAAGATATCTGACTTGGAGGTAAGGATCAGAAAATGAATTTTTATTTTTCTATTTTCTTTCTTGTTTAAGTCTAACTTATACAAATCAGATTGCAATGTCCAAGCATCCAAGAGACGATGCCTCATGATTATACATTTTGGGAGAGAAAAAGCAACACACCCTAGAATTATTCATCTCTTCTCATGGACTTATTCCAGTTTTGAACCAGCAAAATAAAGAACAGCTTCGCTTGACAAAATCCACCTGTTCTTTTACAGGGAAGGAACAATAAAATTCAACATTCAGATAACTGTGGTGAGGGGAGGGAAGGAGGCAGGTAGCCATGTTTCCATCTCTTCTCTTTTCTTTCCCCCTCCTTTTTTTTTTTAAACCTCAGATAGGTTCGGTGATGTAGTTTTTCTTAGGGAAAAGAAGGAAATACTAAGGGAAGCAAGCATATTTTTATTGCAAGGCAGCAATAATGGACATAGCAAGAAATGCGCATGCAGGAGTCTCACAGGTGTGCAAGCATTGTGTGATGTGTGCATGGAGAGGCCACAAGTCAACGTCAAGTGTCTTCCTCAAACTCTCCATTCCTTGTTTTTACATTTATGTATTTATCTCTCTCTCTCCCTCCCTCCCTCCTTTCCTTCCTCCCTCTCTCCGTGTGTGTGTGTGTGTGTGTATGTGTGTGTGTGTGTGTGTGTGTGTGTTTATTTTCATGTGGAGGTCAGAGGACAGATTTCAGGCTTGCTATCTGATTCCACCATGTGGGTCCCAGGGATCAAACCCAGGTCATCAGTCTTGGCAACAAGAACAAGTGCTTTTGTCCACTGATGCATCTTCTACCCCATCCCTTACGCACAAAACCTTTTTCTTTAAGACAATCTTTCTCACTGAACCTGGAACTCAGCAATTTTGCTAGACTGGCTGGCCAATGAGCTCCAAGGAACTAAATGCCTCCAACTGTACAGATGCACACTATCATGTCCAACATTTGGAAATGCTTTTTTGGTGGCTGTCTGGTATATACCAGACAGGGTTGGGACCTGGTGTCAGCTGGGAGAGACTAAGAGGGTCCATTCTCATCAGAGTAAGATTTAAAGTCTGATTGCAAAGCTGCTCATAGCTTTACTGAAATATCCCAGCACATTGAGAGTTTGGGCATGGAGTTAGGGATGACAGATTTTAATGTGTGCTCTGTTGCATTGTTTTATCCTGGGTGAGGAACAATCTCAATGACGTTGGCATACTATTCAACTGGAGGGATTTATCAGACAGTTTCTTCAGTCATGGAAGACCACGCACTTCTCACATTATCCTAGACAGTAGACACCTAAGCAGGTAGAGATGCTCTCCAAGGAGTGATTGGCAAAGCAGGTTGTGGTGTATGGCTGGGGTAGAGGCTGGAAAGAGGCAGAATGGTTGAAAGAGTGACCTGGGAAGACATTCTTTTTAATTTTATGAATAAACATAGGATCCTTCTGTCTAAAAGAAATTCTGATAGAACAGGCTGAGTTCAGAATTGAAAGGGAGAATAGGTATTGGTGTGTTCGTGCTCACGGGTGGTGCAGTTAGTGATGACTTTCAACTAGACAAAATCCAGACTCTGGGCGTACTGCAGGGATTATCTTGATTTGGTCTAATCTGATGTGGGAAGATTTCTTCCTGGAGGTGGGACCATTCTCTGAGCAGGGACACCTGACTGGATAAGATGGAGAAACTGAGTGAGCTGAGCAAGCAGGCATTCATCCATTCATTGCTCTTTCCCGTGGATGCAATGTAATTAACCATCTCAAGCCTTGCTGCTGTGACTTCCCTGGCGATGGCAAACTGTAACCTTGAACTGTGAGCTGAACTAAACCGTTTCCTCTTAAGTTGCTTTCATCATAGTATTTTATCACAGAAAAAGGGAAAGAAACTAAGATTAGAAGAGAAAGAGGGTGCCTAGGTCTCAGACCTGGAAGTGCCTTCGGATCAGGCAGAGGCATTGGCAATGGTTTTTCAAGTTAGGAAGATGGAAAACCAGGGAAAAGGTGACTCGTTGCTCACTTCAGCAGGTTTCCTCTCTGCCCTTGCAGCCTGTGTCTGGCCTGACAGAAAACACTGCACACACACAGGAGGCTGAGCGAATTTATGAGCTAGTGCTGGCTGACTTACTGGTGCCAGTTCCTGAGGGGTGTCCCACCGTCTCTGCCTAGGTCCAGGACTGATAACATTTTGTAGAGAATGTCCCATTGTTGAAGAAGAAGATAGGTTTCCCTTTTCTTCTTTTTTTCTCCTTTTTACCTCTCCAAAACTTTGCATTGAAAATTGATCTTTTATTTTAATTACTTTGTACAATCTCAGTTCTTTGGGATGTGGTACTTTGAGTACTCATGGCTCTCTATATCAGTTATTTCCATAGGCTCAGCACCTTTATCACATACAGGCATGGCCCATCCCCTTACAACACAGTACTTCTGGCCCCAATATCTGCAGCCTTTGGATGAGATGATGTATATGATGGTTTGTGGCTACATTGCCCCTCCCAATATGACTTACGGCTGAAACACAGGAACATGACACCTTTTTATGCATCCTCTTTCATTTGTTAAATCATTCCAGACATGCTGGAAGAAAATTCTGTTCTCTCCCTAGGAAAAAGGAAGAAAGAATCGTTACTTGTTATTTACAAATGAATGTCTAAAAGGTTTGAGAGACTCCAGACTAGAAACGTTAAATTTCATTTGACCTTTCAAAGCCACAGTTAAAATCAGGCCACAAGTGTGCTTCCAAAAAAACATCTCGAGATGCTTCCATGGAGTGTGATTGGTATATTACATTGGTGCCACAAATAGGATGGGCTTTATCTCTTTGGCAAGTAATATGTGCCAAAGCATGTAGTGCTGTGTGATTTCAGTATTATTTTAACACAAGAGCTAGGATGGAAATCTCTTCTTTAGTTTCCACCCTCTTTGTTTTAATGTTAACCACATCAAATCATGAGCCTGTTTCTTTGTGTTTGACAGTAATAGCTATTTAAAGTATTCCTTCCTTTAACATATGTGATCTAGGAAAATTACTTTCATTGAAAATGATTTTCATTATGTAAAGAAATGCCTTTTATAATTTCTGATAGAAATTTGCTAGGAAATTATCCTTTACTGATGGATGCCAAAGACCCATTTGAAGACACTCGGAGAATAGGAAAAAAGGAAGAGATTTTGATCTTCACAGCCAAATCATTTCTTGTGTTGCTTTACAGGCCTTAAATAATTTTTGAGCTTGGACACAGTTTGTGTAGGTTTCTGGATGGTTGACTCCCAGGACTGTATAGGGTAGCTAATGCAGAATAAGGTGCCTGAACATTTTCAAGATTCAACCCAGTGAAAAATTATGTCACTGAATACTGGGGTTTGGAGGGGTGCTTGACATCATCTACTGCCCTACTTTCATTGCCATGTAGATTGTATCTAAGTGATGCTACGTGCTTAAAGGTGATGTAACTAGGATTTGGCAATTGTATTTTTTCAGGACTTGACAGTAGTGTTTTTTCAGGAGGTACAAATCTCCAATGACAGCAAGGACCAAGGATCATGTAACTAGTGTAGGTAATAAATTCTTGTGAATATTCTTAGCTACAGCCTTACCTTCAATACATGACAGCAGGTCCAACTAACCCTGTCTGTTAATATTCATCTAAAGATGTGGAATTTCTTTCTTTTTCCCTTTTTAAAAATATAACTCTATGATTTTCCTATGGCTTTGCTTTTCTAAAATTGATATGAAAAATCAATCAAAGAATTAGTTATATCAAATCATATTTGTTAGTATTGTTAATAACCAACTTTCGTATGCAGTTTATGGTCCTTGGTAAACATCCCAGGAGAGTATTAGAATGTAGTTGGTCATTGTAGGCTGCCTTGTCAATCTAGTATTTAGGAGACTGAGTCAGAAGGATTGTGAGTTCAAGGTCACAAGGTATTTATAGTGCATCCAATAGAATATAATATCTTTATGTGTTCTGTGATAGATATATACGGTTTCTAGTCTGTCCTGCAGCATTTTTCTTTCCCTCCTTCTTTCTCTCCTTACCTTCTCCTCCCTCCCTCTTTCTTTCTTTCTTTCTTTCTTTCTTTCTTTCTTTCTGTTTGTCTTTCTTGAGGCAAGATTTCCATGTAGCCCTGGATGACTCAACACTTGCTATGTAGAAGAGGTTGACATTGAACTCACAG